TCAAGTCATATACGTATGAAACATTACAAAAAAATATAAGTTGAATATGACGATAATTTTAAGTTATACGTTGACGTCGTGAAATAATATCAATAGTTTTGGTGATGATGACTCACGGTTAATATTGACAAGTTGAATAAGTTGCACGAGCCTTGTGATTATACGAAACGTAAAATGGGATCAAACAAATATATATATATATATATATATATTGAATTGAATATGAATGGTGTGAATTGAAATGATGTGAAACTCTAAATCCCCTCAATCCCCTATTCATTCTTGGAAGTATGTATAGACACTAGACATTATGCAACTTCATTTCATCAAGCGAAGAGGGTACATGATGCACATCGTGGGTGACTAAATGTCATTCATGGCCCCTCTGCCCCTTGTAATAAAAAAATGGTCGTGGTTGTGTTTCATGAATAAATGTCACAACTTGGGCCCCACCTAGTCATTAAATTGAACCATTGACAACATTAGTGGAGGTAGATAACAGGAACATATGACAAATATTTGATATATTTTTTTAGTTTAACGGTTAAAGATGTTCAGATCAATATATACATACATTAATTAATTATTTCTCCACTCCGATCAAAAGCAAGTCATCTACACGAGAATTAGAGTATATATCTCATAATTTGACCTTAAGAGATTGTTAATATTTAAACTTAGAATGTCTAGATTTATAGTTCGTCCCCTATTACCACTTGAGCTACATGTTGAGGTTTATCAATATTTGATATTTCATGCCTGTGTTTTTCTTTGTTTACATTTATTTAAGTCATGAAAAGAGTTGAATTAATCTTACACAACAAGGCTATCTTTTAAGAGAGGGAAAGGTGATATTAGTCAACAATGGACCCTCTCATGTAAAAAAAATCCCTTTTAATTTGTTAGTAGTAATTAAGACTAACAATGTCTATTCTCGAACCAATATGGTCGGGTTTGTGTCTTGTCATAATTTGTTCAATTAATCCTCAACCCACTTATTCCTGTTTATTATCCGGTTCTTATTGTGTTAGTTTCGTGCTTTGTAATGTAATCTTTAACGAATTTATATGTAGCATGTGTTAGTAAAATTTGCACCGACTCATTTAAAAGATATAACAAACTCACTATCTTACCACCCGGATTTTTAAAATAAAATTCAAACTCAAAAATCACGTCTTTAATTGTCAGGCTGAGTAGCAGTTACAAATACTCNAGATATAACAAACTCACTATCTTACCACCCGGATTTTTAAAATAAAATTCAAACTCATTGACTACATATCGGTTGTATTTCGAACTCAAAAATCACGTCTTTAATTGTCGGACTGAGTAGCGGTTACAAATACTTNTATCTTACCACCCGGATTTTTAAAATAAAATTCAAACTCAAAAATCACGTCTTTAATTGTCAGGCTGAGTAGCAGTTACAAATACTTCCAAATTATATAGCTTTGTTGATTTAGGTTTTTTAGAACTTTCAATGTTTCTAGACCTATTCTTATAAGGAGATTTTTTAGAAATTTAACAAATCAACCCATATATATTTTTCAGAAATTAATCCGATATAAACTTTCACCACATTCAATTAATCAGTCAACAATGAGTAATATTTAAAATTGTAGGGGCCACTGATGCAAAGCTACAATTGTGAGGTCAACTGTTTGATGTATGCATGGACCACCCCCTGATTGTGACAAAGCTCACTCTAGTATTTGTTAAAAAAAAACAAAAAACAAAGATTAATCGGCCATTCTGTTATGCCTTTTAAATATTGAATTTAAATAAAAATAATTTTTGTCAAAAAAAAATAAAACTGTGTTTGGTTTTTATTTTACTAAAAGAATGATTAAGAGGCACGGTGCAATGTAATTAAGGGATAACCCGTGCCTGAATGNCAAAGATTAATCGGCCATTCTGTTATGCCTTTTAAATATTGAATTTAAATAAAAATAATTTTTGTCAAAAAAAAATAAAACTGTTTTTGGTTTTTATTTTACTAAAAGAATGATTAAGAGGCACGGTGCAATGTAATTAAGGGATAACCCGTGTCTGAATANTTAAATAAAAATAATTTTTGTCAAAAAAAAATAAAACTGTGTTTGGTTTTTATTTTACTAAAAGAATGATTAAGAGGCACGGTGCAATGTAATTAAGGGATAACCCGTGCCTGAATGTACGGTGTAATGTAAATGATTTTAAGAGAGATGTTGGTGACCGTTGAATAAATCTATTTGAGACCATCAAATATACTTATTCATTTATCTTGTTATTTTAGTTAAAGTTGATAATCGAGCTGAACTTTACAAAAAGTTAATAATCTAGTCAAACTTAAAACGAACAGAATCCGAGTCAAGTCTGAATAGTTTAACTATTTTATATATAAACAACTTGAACTTTTTAGATTCGTTTTTTTAAACGAGTTTAAAAAATTATTCAAATTTTATTTATTTATTTTAAAAAAAAATTCGAACTCTAATTTCAGCAACCCAATTATATATATATATCAAGCAGCATTTTGAAAGTTAGAAAGAAAGTGTTATTGCTTTGGTCTCTGGAAAGTTATCACCAGTGTAATACTTTTTTTTGTAATAAAGATGATCAAAATGTTCAGTGAGACTGACACACCGTGGTACATCCAACATGTAGTAGCCCACCTGGTGGGAATCCTAGGTTTATGTACGCAGACTACAAGAAGATTGTTTTTTCCCCCTTAATTCTAGATAGTTATGGAAATAAGCCTATGGTACCGAGTGCTATCAGCACGGGACAGATTAAGGGCCTGATTTACCGGTTCACTAGCTCAATCAACTGGTCCGATCTAATTTTGATAAAATTGATGGTATCCCCTCCTTGTACCATATCAAAACTAATTACCACCGTAAATTTTAATTTAAATGATTTTTAATTATTGATTGAAAATAGTAAAATGATATATATTTATACATATTATATTTTTATTGAATAAAAAATAAAAGTATGTTATCAAAAATTATTTGGTAAGGTTCTTTATGTTCCACCCTATTAGGTGTCCTTTTTTACATTCTTAATAAATATCTTTACACAACCCGAGGTTTGCAAAAAAAAAAAAAAAAAGGGATAAAATACATTTTTAGTCTCTTAAAGTATGCATTTAGTATCTATTTGGTCCCTAATTTTTTAATTATGTTTATTTAGTCCTTAAAGTTTTTAATTTGTATTTAAGTGATCCAATTCCAAGGCTGTCAGAAAATTGTTGATGGTTTTGGTCATGTGCCAGTCACGCGGTTCCTAATTTTATGCCTATTTGGTTCGTAAAATTTATAATTTGTATCTATTTGGTTCCTAAAGTGTCTATTTTTTGTTTATTTGGTTCCATGTGATTGGCGCATGACCAGAACCATTAATAATTTTTTGATGGACATTTGAGATTGAACTATATAGATATAAATTAAAAATTTTAGGGACAAAACAGACACAATTGAAAATTTGAGTATCAAATAGACACTATACACATACTTTAAAGAGTAAATGTACTCGTACAAATTTATCCAAAATATATTATTTTTGACATTTTTCCCCTCAAGGTGCATCTTTTTTGTTGTTGAATTGAGTCGTACAAATCTATGAAAAAAAATTGTTATAATAGTAATATTACTTCATCATGATATAAATTATCATCAACCAGAAAATATCATACCACTAGTAAACCCTACTACTCCAATAACAATTAATAAGTGATTTTGGTCATTAAATTTTAGTTAATTCATTTAGGGCACGCTTGTTTATCGGGTTTGAGAGGTTTGGAAGGGTGGTTTAAAAAAATTAATCTGATAGACTCCATAATTTCGCGTTTTGTTTGCACTTTTAAACGCGGGATTCATATCTCGAACTATTAATGATTCGGTGTGTTAAACTCACATACATGGAATTGGACAAACCTAGGTTAACTACGCTTAATGACCCTTATATCCCTAATAAAATATCATATATATCAAATTAAATCACATCTCAACTCCCAATTACTCTCCTATGTAATTAAACAAACATGATATAAATTAGATTGACTNAACCTAGGTTAACTACGCTTAATGACCCTTATATCCCTAATAAAATATCATATATATTAAATTAAATCACATCTCAACTCCCAATTACTCTCCTATGTAATTAAACAAACATGATATAAATTAGATTGACTAACAAATAATATAGTCATTTACAAAATAAAGGTGTGCTGATAACTGTAATAAATCTATAGGTCTCATGTATATATTTCTTACTAAATACAGATACGAATAAAATTCATATATGAATTTAATGTATACAAAAGTGAGAGTTAAATTTAAAATAATTTGATAAAGCGAATTCAATTCCTCACCCTAAAATCATCCAAACATGCCCCTTGTAGACATTGTTCACATAAATAATATCAAAAACCGAAAGGCCGTTGCAGTCTGAGACTCGTACAGTTTCATTGACTCATGCCTGCTCACTTCTCGTGAAGCTACGTTAGTAGGATTTGCTTCCCAAACTCTCTCTCTCTCTTTCTCTCAGTCTCACTCTCTCTTTCTCGGACACAGAGAAACACCTGGGTCCGTGAAACAAATACCTAAACATATTGTTCTGCTCATCATTCTCAAACTCTATTTCGACCTCATGAAGCTTTGTTGTTCATTTGCCTCTGCAACCACATTCTACCTTGGTTCTGTCCTCATCTTCTATGCTATGATACAACTATAAAACCATTTTCGTTGCAACCCATATAGTCGTTGTATAGGTTTCTTTTGTTTGGTTGTTTTTGTTTGGTTCAGCAAGCTGTTTTTTCTAATACGGGTCTTTGGATTTTGATCAGAAATACTTGAATGTTGCACTTTCTTCCTGAAATTAATCGTTGGGTGTGCTTTGGATTGCTTGAATTTGAAGAATATGAAAATGGGTCATCTTCATAAATAGAAAAACCATATGGGTTATCAGTTTTGAGGTTCAAGGTCTTTCTTGTTGAGTAATAAATTTCCACCGAAGTCTCTGACTCCCCATTAATGTTCAAGTCATAAACTGTGAGAAACCTTTGCAAACCCAAATTGTTTTTCATCAGAAACTGCTGTTGTTGAGGCAAAAATCAGATAAATTTTGATGTTGCCTGTGCTGGGTTCAATGGCTTCTTGATTGCTCATTTTAGGGGGGTTTGGAGGCAAAAATTGAGTACTTTCATTTGAGGGCAACCCAATAATGGCTCTTTCAAGCTTGTTCACCACTTTGCTAATTGGGCTGCTATTATCAAGGTCTCAACTTGTGATTGCTCAACTCTCTCATGATCAGACCATATTGGTATCAGTTGGCAAGGAGCTTGGAGTTTCTGGGTGGGGTCTCAATAGCTCAGATTACTGCTCTTGGCCTGGGATTGGTTGCAGCTCAAACAATTCAATGGTGGAGAGGCTTGTGCTCTCTCATCGAGGTCTCCAAGGTAATGTCACTCTAATTTCTGAGCTCAAAGCATTGAAATGGCTTGACCTTTCATATAACAACTTGGATGGATCAATTCCACCTGCTTTTGGGAATTTATCTCGGCTTGAGTTTCTCGATTTATCTGCTAACAAGTTTGGAAGTTCTATTCCTATTGAGTTGGGGAGCCTCAGAAACCTTAGAGCATTGAACCTTTCTAATAATTTGCTCACAGGAGAAATACCTGATGAGCTTGAGGGCCTAGAGAATTTACAAGATTTTCAAATCTTTACTAATAGATTGATTGGTTCTATCCCAATGTGGGTGGGGAATTTGACAAATCTGATAGTTTTTACTGCCTATGAGAATGGATTTAGTGGTAAAATTCCGGATAATTTAGGCTTGGTTTCAGAACTCCAGTTGTTGAACCTTCATTCAAACCAGCTTGAAGGGTCAATACCAGAGAGCATATTTTCCACGGGAAAGCTAGAATTTTTGGTTCTAACCCTGAATCAATTGGCCGGAAATCTTCCTGAATTGATTGGCAATTGTAGAGGCCTTTCCAGTATTAGAATTGGGAATAACAAGTTCATAGGAAGCATTCCCAAAGCAATTGGAAATGTTAGTAGCCTCACATACTTTGAAGCGGACAACAACAATCTCTCCGGGGAGATTGTCTCAGAGTTTTCACAGTGCTCCAATCTCACTCTTCTGAATTTGGCCTCAAATGGGTTTACTGGAACGATTCCTCCCGAGTTTGGTCAGCTTACTAATCTGCAAGAATTTATTGTTTCTGGTAATAGTCTCTTTGGAGAGATTCCAACATCAATTCTGAGGAGCAAGAATCTTAACAAGCTTGATTTAAGCAACAACAGATTCAATGGCACCATTCCAGAAACTATCTGCAATACATCTAGATTGCAGTACCTGCTCTTAGGTCAAAATTCAATACGAGGTGACATACCCCATCAAATTGGGGACTGCGTAAAACTCCTTGAATTGCAAATGGGTAGTAACTATCTAACCGGAAGCATCCCTCCTGAGATTGGTCATATAAAGAACTTGCAGATAGCACTAAATTTGAGCTTCAATCATCTCCATGGAGTATTGCCCCCCGATTTAGGAAGGCTCGACAAGCTGGTTTCATTGGATGTTTCTAACAATCAGCTCACCGGGAACATTCCACTTGCACTGAAGGGCATGCTAAGTTTGATAGAGGTGAATTTCTCGAATAATCAGTTCACTGGTCCAATACCCACCTTTGTTCCGTTCCAAAAGAGTCTAAATTCAAGCTTCTTGGGGAATAAAGGGCTCTGTGGAGAGCCATTGAGTTATTCATGTGGAAATTTGAACGGGTCTGACCACAAGAGTTACCATCACAAGGTTTCGTACAGGATCATATTAATAGTTATTGGTTCCGGTTTGGCAGTTTTTGTATCTGTAACAGTTGTTGTTCTGCTCTTTATGATGAGGGAGAGACAAGAAAAAGCTGCCAAAGCTGCAGGGATTTCCGACGATGGAACTAGTAGCCGGCCATCAATAATAGCAGGAAATGTATTTGTCGAGAATCTCAGACAAGCGATAGAATTTGATGCTGTTGTCAAAGCAACACTGAAAGATTCAAATAAGATCAGCTGTGGGACTTTCAGCACGGTCTACAAGGCAGACATGCCCTCTGGGATGATTTTATCGGTGAAAAGACTGAGATCTATGGACCGAACAATAGTTCATCATCAGAACAAGATGATCAGAGAGCTTGAAAGGCTGAGCAAACTCAGCCATGACCATCTAATGAGACTCATTGGGTATGTAATTTATGAAGATGTTGCTCTTCTGCTGCATGACTACTTTCTCAATGGGACTTTGGCTCAGTATCTTCATGATTCTACCAAACAGCCCGACTGCAAACCTGATTGGCCAACAAGACTCTCCATTGCAATTGGAGTAGCAGAAGGGTTGGCGTTCCTTCATCACCTTGCCATTATCCATCTTGATATATCTTCTGGTAATATAGTTCTGGATTCCAATTTCAAACCTTTGGTTGGTGAAGTCGAAATATCCAAACTCTTAGACCCATCCAGGGGCACAGCAAGTATCAGTGCCGTTGCTGGCTCATTTGGTTATATTCCACCAGGTATATAGACAATGTATTCTAATTGCTTTACTACTGATTTCTTCTTCCTCATGTTGTCCTCTTTGTTTAGTAACTATTTCCTTTTGAGTTGTTTGACAGAATATGCATATACAATGCAAGTTACAGCACCCGGAAATGTTTATAGCTATGGGGTTGTTTTGCTTGAGATCCTTACAACCAGACTACCTGTTGAAGAGGCCTTTGGTGAAGGTATAGATTTGGTAAGATGGGTTCACAGTGCTCCTGGAAGAGGGGAAACCCCAGAGCAGATACTAGATGTGAGGCTTAGCACCGTCTCATTTGCTTGGAGAAAAGAAATGCTCGCAGCGTTGAAGGTCGCGTTACTTTGCACTGATAACACACCAGCCAGACGGCCCAAAATGAAAAAGGTGGTGGAAATGCTTCAGGAAATCACACAAACCTAAGTGGAAGCCTATTGCACAGGAGTTTGCCACAATTCTCAGGATCAAGAACCCCGTTGTGAGTTATGAAGACATCATGCCAATTCCAACTATTTTTTCGGTTAACTGTCATCCTCCGACAAGGTGGTTGGGGTGGTGCTTTCCTTCTCTGATTATCCACTCCTTGTTTTGTATGAAAAAGTATGTGAGAAAGGGGGTTCTTGTAATGTTTTCCAAATTGAAAAGGAAGACAAGACTTGGGAGGAGGATAAATGCAAAGAGGGTTTCCTAATATGGATTTTCCTGCACTGTTTATTAGGCCTTCATAGTATTATAGATATTTTTGGTTCCAACATGCGTGTGGAGCATATGTACTTACCAGAAAACTATATCCCTCTATAAAATTCTCTCTTTTTTTATGACTTCCACTTATCGATCCCAGCCCAGAAAAGTGACCGACCAGGGTCCTATTGATGAATGAAAGAAAGGGTTTTTGAGCTCTAGCCCTAGCCCTAGCCCTAGCCCTGTAAGCCCACACCTGTGTAGAGTAGATCGTTCAACACCTGTGGCACATACCCATTTTTGACCTATTGGCCCAGATGATAGCGGCACTACCCCAGCTCTAACTTCTCTGCATTTCAACTTCGCTTTCTTGTTTGTTTATTCTTGAATCCATACTGAATCTTCCTTTCTATTGCGTTCGGGTTTTGCATGCTACTCTGCATTTGATCTTTTATCATGCTAAGAATAGAAACGTGGGATTACCTTGTGATTGGTTCTTGAGAAGATCAGAGAAGAAGAAACCCGGATATAAGAGCTTTTTAGGCCTGCAAATGGGGTAAAAACCTTGCATATAGTTCACTCTGCATCTTGACATTCATTTTGTGTTCTGGGTCTCAATTTCGCTTGCCTGAGTTTTCTTCATATCAAGGAATTAAATTTTGTGTCGAAACATCTAAAACGTTTCCCTTTGAATAGAAATCGAAACGAATAATTGATTGAATATTAAAATTCTTATGTTTCGAGCTGTTTCGATTGGTTTTGACCTATGTTTCAGAAATAAATTTTAAAATTTTTTCTTTGTTTTTGAAATATTTCTGAAACATTACCGAAACGTTTTTGTTTCCAAACTCACTGAAACTATGGACCAAAACGAAATTTTGATGCTTGCTTCAGATGTTGGTTCCTCTGCTTCTAGTGCCTTCATAAATTGACTGGGTGATCTTTGTCTCTAATTATCATTACTACTACTACTACAGTACTACTGCTACTTGATTCAAGTTGAGCTTTTAAAGAATAAAAACCATTCTAGTTCTAAAGTTCTTTGACTTAAGTCTGTCAAGGCTTGAAATTTTAGTCTACATACAGAGCAAAGATAGTACTGGCTTGAGATTAGGGTATCAACGGGCAAAAATGCAAGGTTTGTTAACTGCTGCAGGGGAGCAGGCTGAAGCACAACAACGACGCAAAATGAGTCGGACTCAAAATTAAGCAGAGCTAATGTTGTTTGATCTGCATTCAGTCACTGATCAAGACACATTCTACGACATAAATCCCGTCAATTTCGGGCCAAATTCTATGACTTAGACCCTCAAATTAGCATTTTTGCCGTTTTTAGGAGAGATTTTAAAAATTTGTAATAAATTATAAAACATTCTAATTTCAGTGTCGTCAGTTAGTAACTCCAAACAACACATGCTTTTATGTTAATTTGTTAGATTGAAGTTTTTTTTTTATTTTTGATAAATTTCGTGCAATTAAGAATTTTATTTTCAATTTTAAAAAGGGTAAAACTTTTGGACATTTTTATAAATATTGTCCCTATGTAATGTACTACAAACTATTCACTCAATAATACACATTTTTCAGGGTTTTCTCAATTTCCCTACATTGAGATTGTGTGTATGTTTACTACAACCAAGAAACGACGTTTTATTTGTATTTCTTATTTACCGTTGTCTCTTTCGACTAATAAATGATGATTTCTTTGTATTTTTTATTTAGCGTTGTCTCACCGGGCCGGCCTTCAAGACTCATTCCTTGACCAGTGCTTGGTTTACTGAAGATTACTCGATTTGTTTGCAGAAGATCCTCCAGGGAGTCGCACACTTATTATTACCATTAATGGAAATTTTAAGGGTGGAGTTGTTCTGGGAAAGAATGGTTTTGGTGGAAGGTCCCTTGATTCTGTTGCTGTCAAATGATCCGTGTTGTGGGATGTACATTACATGTCCACTGCTACAAGGGTTAATTACACTTCCAATCCCTAAAGTACCACCCGATTCACACCTTGATCCTAAGCCCTTTTTTAAGTGTCCATTACATCCGTCAAATTTTGATGGACTTGTGGTACCCAAAAAAATAATAAAAATAGTTATTACAATACTGGTAAAAACATCCACAAAAGTAATAATTTTTTTGTACCAAACAAAAGTGGTAAAAACACGCACAAAAGTGATAAATCACTTACAAAAATGATAGATTTTTTTATTATAAAATGACCCATAAAAATTATAGAAACACCCTTTGAAGTAGAAAATTTTAGATGGAATTGCATGAAAGGATTTGGGATGGAATTGAAAAAAAAATCCCAGCAGTTTCAAGCCTGTATGCAGCTTCAGACAAGCTTGTCTTGCCAATGCTTCACAGCTACCGCACATCAGGATTGAGAGCGATAGCCTGGAAGTAGCTCAGCTCAAATGAAGGGGTGCCTCCTTGAGAAATCAGTGTCTTTGTGGAAAATATTAGATACTTTGCTAGACACCTAGATCTTAGATTTTTTACACAAGCCAAGAGTCCTCAATAGGGTAGCTCATTGGGTGGTAGCAACCATGCTATCCAATTCTATTGCTGTGATTAGTTGCCCCCTGATGAGTTTAAGCCTTTATTTTCCTCTAATTAAAATCAACATTTTCCTACTTAAATGAATTTACAATCTTCTTGTTCTTAAAAAAAAAAAAAAAAGGTAAATTTTAGAGGTATTTGTACTGAAATTTTTTTAGGGGTACCGTAGTCTAAGTCCAATTTTGATATAATGTCATTTTAGTCCAATCAATAATACTAGTTACTTTTTCACAAAAAAACGCACATGATTTTTCCAAGATGGCCGTCAAACAACAGAAACTAAAAGAATAACCCAACGTTAGAGGTGTAAAAAGATACGATCCCAAAAATAGACTACTTCTCAGCTGATCCCAGAAACAAAAATTAATCACCCAAAGAAAAGCAATGGCCAATTTTTCTAACAAAGACAGGATGACAATGCCAAATGCAGCAGAGCATCGCAAAGAAGTAAGGTATAACATCATAATATCTGACAAAAACAAGATGTCCCAAGGACACTGATAGTATGCAATGAGTGATAATGGAAATAATTGACAATCACGTGATCATATTGTTGGAATTTAATACGCTTTAAACCCACAGACAAATACAGATAATCGAAGAACAAACTAAGAACGTAAAACAATAAACAAAAAAGAACAAGACATAAAGATTTTACGTGGTTTGACAATTTGCCTACATCCACGAAGCTGCAGGGATTTCACTATTGGGAGAGCGGCTTTCAGTTCCAATTAAACCCTAAACACCAAAGTAGCGGTTTTTATATGTCATTCGCTCCATGGACCAAGTCTCAAAATATTTTTCATTAAAAACCACACAACATTATTTCAGGTCGGATCATCATCTGAATTATACTCACAAATTAGACTCCATAAAAATCCAACACATATTGCTCTATATGGGCTTCTAGCTGGAAAAACAACACAGCAATGGGATACATATTTCCCAAACTGTGCCATCCACAAAGGCTGTGGTTCTTATGCCCAAGCCATGTCATCAACACATGCTTCAAGTTAACCATGCCAGTCTTCTACATCACTGGCAAAGTTGGTCTAAATACTCNCATCCACAAAGGCTGTGGTTCTTCTGCCCAAGCCATGTCATCAACACATGCTTCAACACATGTGTACTTAGCTGACTGAGGACACATTGCTTGCTTTGTAACCAATACTTACCTCTAAGGCTTGTACACATAATCATATAACTGATGTAACTCTCTCAATTCATAGATCCACATGGCAGTCCAACTTTATTGTAAGACTTAGGGTTGAAGGTGACAATTTAATCGTGTCGTGTCGAATTCATGTTGGGTCATTATGAATTCGTGTCAAACATTAATCAATCTTAATTTAACATATTTAACTAATTATGTAGTATTGAGTTGACTTATTTATTTTCGTATCATGTTCGTGTTCGTATTCGTATTGACCCACGTAAATTTTGAATAAAAAATTTAACGTTAATATTATATTTTCACTTAATTAAATTTAAGCTCATACTTTTTCNATTTAACTAATTATGTAGTATTGAGTTGACTTATTTATTTTCGTATCATGTTCGTGTTCGTATTCGTATTGACCCACGTAAATTTTGAATAAAAAATTTAACGTTAATATTATATTTTCACTTAATTAAATTTATGCTCATACTTTTTTTACAAACTAAAAATTAACTTGATAAAAATAATACTAATTATATTGAGTAAAAATATCTTTTTTTATACAATAATTATGTCAGTACTTAATAAATAGTTATAAATAAANTTTTTTACAAACTAAAAATTAACTTGATAAAAATAATACTAATTATATTGAGTAAAAATATCTTTTTTTATACAATAATTATGTCAGTACTTAATAAATAGTTACAAATAAATAATATTTTATTTATATAATATTAATTAAACATGTTAATTTTGTATTAACATGCAAATAAAAAAATAGAGAAAGTGCCCATTCTTAAATAAAACGAATTGATTGTGTCAATTAATAGTCGAAGCAAATTATCCAGCAAAACAAACTAAGTAACCACACAGTTAACGAAAATCAAAAGGAAAAATAATTCCTCAGAATATATCCAAGAAATTCCAGCCGAAATGGAGAATCAAAATCCTAAAGGAAAGACAAACAGTTAGAGAGAAAGAGAGATGATAGACTCAACTCACCGCGATGGACTTGCACAGAGACAGAGAGTAGTCAGTGTCTCGGAGCTGTGAATGATCTTTTGGTTTATTCCATGCGCAATAGCTAGGATGATACGTGGCGTTTTGGGCTGCTTAATGCCCAGGCATCCACCTCTTTTTTTTAATGGTTAGTGACATTCGATTAATCTTTTTTATAATCTCGTTATTCATTCTTATTTTTTTTTTCTTGGGTATAAGTCATCAGTCATTAATTTAAGGGCACTTAATCGTATAAATTTCCTCATGTTTGAAATATTACATTCAACCCTTTTAGTAGTAACAGAAAAAAACTCTTAGATGACTATTATATCCTATAATAAAAAATTGAACACAATTGAAT